TCCATTCATATCAAGATTCATTTTCAATTCTCTTTATATACAGAAGATCAATTTAGCATATATTAAGTAAAGCTTTCAACAGTTTGCACAAAGTGAAAAATACTGTTTGAGTACTAGTTACAGCATTAAATCACAATGTACAGCACATTAAGGACAGAGATCCTACATGAGGAGTAAGTACACAGTGACTCCTGTTGTTGACTTAACAAATTGACACTCTTGTTTATGGCATCAGTAATCACCCTAGGTTCTTGTCATGAGTTGCCAAGGCTATGGAAGCCTTTTGAGTTCACCAACTCTGATCTTACTTAGACAAGGTCGTAGTCAAAGTGGAAGTTCTCTCCTCCCTTCAGAGAAAGGTACCTCCTTCTTTGATGACCTGTTCTTTCCACTGGGATCTCATTCACGGAGATCTTTCATTTAGGTCTCTCTCTCTCTCTCTCTCTCTTTTTTTTTTTTTTTCCAGAGTGTCTTGGCTTTCCATGCCTGAAATACTCTCATGAGCTTTTCAGCCAGATCCACCAGATCCATGTGCCTTAAGGGCTGATTCTGAGGCCAGAGGATAACACAGACTTTAAATCAAAAACTATAAAAAGAGATAGAAAGACATATTATGATAAAAGTTTCATCAAAAAGACATAACAATTGTAAATACATATGCACCCAAAACAAGACCACCCAGATAGATACAGCAAATACATTAGACCCAAAGGGAGAGATAGACTCCAATACAATAATAGGGGGTGACTTCAACACCCTACTCTCATCAATGGACAGATCATCCAGAAAGAAAAAAACACACACTGGAGTTGAAGCACACTGTTGAGTAAACGGACCTAAAAGACTTTTATAGGACATTTCACCCAACAGCTACAGAGTACACATTCTTCTCATCAGCACATGGAATATTTTCTAGGACAGACTACATATTAGGCCACAAATCAAGTCCGGGAAATTTAAAAATACTGAAATCATACCTTGGATCTTCTCAGGCCATAAAGAAGTAAAACTAGAAATCAATAAGAATAACAGAACACTTATCAATACTGGGAAATTAAACAACATGCTGCTGAATGGTCAGTGGATCACTGAAG